AGGAGTAGGTGAGGGACCATCCTAGGCATCACTCCCCACTACTTCCAGCCCTGGCACACTGCCAAGCACTTAGATGTGCCTATTAAGTAGCTTATAGAAAGAAAGAAAGAAAGAAAGAAAGAAAGAAAGAAAGAAAGAAAGAAAGAAAGAAAGAAAGAAAGAAAGAAAGAAAGAAAGAAGAGAGGGAGGGAGGGAGGGAGGAAGGGAAGGAAGGAAGGAAGGAAGGAAGGAAGGAAGGAAGGAAGGAAGGAAGGAAATTCTATTATGCCTTAATCTTGTGAGCATCTTCTTAATTCTACTCAAAAAACATTCTTCCTATAAAATGACAAATGTAAACCAAAAATAAAATTCTGAGTCCCCCTCCCCACCCCCCACCACCTGCCGCTACAGTCATCTGTATGACTTCCTCTTTAGCCAGGGCACTTTAAAATCTAACCTGAAAGACTAGTTCAGGCCATGATGCGAAGTGGGATCAGACATGCCTCATTACACCTCTCCAGTATTAACTTCAACACAGACCTTAAGTCTGAAAAGAAACATTTGGAGGGAGCGGGTAGAATCAAGGGAACAAAAAAGAAGAGAAACATTAACTATCTATTCTCTACCTGGCAGTTTCATCTGCATGATTAAACTTTGGTCTTCGTAACTTCTTGTCGCAAGACAGACATTTCTATCCATTGATAACTCTTCCACCCAATTACCAATTAGAAAAACTTTAAATCTACCTATAACCTGGAAGCCCCCCGCCTCGCTTCACATTGTCTTGCCTTTCTGGATTGGACCAGTGTATATCCTAAATGTATTTGAAGTCTCATGTCTCCCTAAAATGTACAAAACCAAGCTATGCCCTGACACCTTGGGCACATATTCTCAGGACCTCCTGAGGGCTGTGTCATAGGTCATGGTCACTCATATTTGGCTCAGAATTAATCTCTTCAAATATTTTACAGAGTTTGACTCTTTCCGTTGACACAACTTAGATTAAGCGATTAAGCACACTCAGATAATAACCTGGCAGACGGTGCTCCCAAAGGCTTGGAAGAAATACTTCCGTTTCTAAACGAGGTTGTCTTATAGACATGGGATAACTCGAGCACTCAGAGAAGCTGACTCCTTATTGTTTTTAAAGTCATGATTACCAGAGTTATTTCATCATAGCCTGTTAGGCATTGAACAAGGAAAGGCAACTACCAAGGACAAATACACATCTAGTTTTTGTAACATCCTTTCATGCTATTACTTAAATAGCTCTGGCATGGGCACTTATCTAACATGAGAGTTTTTACAAAGAAAAATCTGAACTTTAAAGAAAAAAAGAAAAACAAAATCGAACACACAAAAAAACCTCTTTTGGTTCACAAGCCATTGAGGATGAACTCTACTCTCCATCTCTAAGTTTATTAGTGAAGTTTTTTCCCATTCTGATGGGGAATTGTGAAGAGAGTGAGTAATGCAGAAACGGAAACTAAAGAGGTGGGCAGAGTGAGCCATGTCATTATTTTCTGGACCAGTGATATCAACAAACACATAGTTACAACTTCAATATTGTGACTGTCTGAGTTACATTTATTGAGTGTACCCAGAGTGAGTTGAACCGTTCTCAGCAGGAAACAGAAAAAAGATGGCACATTCGAATTAGGACAGTCCCAATACTTTGATGAAAAGGACTATATACAAACATGGGAAGGGTGCAGGAAAACCAAATGGAATAGCACAGCATCCCCCGCCTGCTATTACCTCTAGGCGTGAAGGGACAAGTTGAGAAAATAGTTAACAAAACCCAGAAAGAGAAACTCAAGAAAGTTTGTGGAGAGGGCTACCTTGAGGAGAGCTCTGATCTTTGATGGAAGGACATGGCCAGCTGTGAGTGACCCAGCCTGGAGGCAATTAAGCGAGTAAATACCCTCACTTCATTCCATCCTCTTTGCTGGGGGGCCCCACCAGCCAATCACTGATGTGGTTCATACAGGTCAGCCTCTTGGGTCAGAGAGCAAGATAGAGAAGGGAGGGGAGGAGTGAAAGAGACAAACTGGAAGACAACAAACAGAAAGAGGTAGAGAGCAAGTCAATGACTAAAATCAGTGGATAGAAGGTGCTAGAGTGCGGGTGGGGTGGTGGCATTGGTTTCACATAGGAAAGCCTGACAGGTTGGCTCCAGGAGTTACAGTTTTATGTGTCCATAATCAATATGGCAATACCAATGCTAAAACTAGTGGATGAGATCAAATTAAAGCTGTATGACTACCTCCTGGAAATTTTATAAAAATTAGACAGAAACAAGTTACTTCCAAGGTCCTTGCAGACTTGTGTACTTTCATCCTATACTTGCTGAAAGTCAAGTAAAAGTAATATCTTGGCAAAAGTACCAAAGAAAGACATGGGTTTTCCTGGTTTTTGGTAAAGTAGATTTTCAAAAACTCATTACCAAACTGAAAAATCTCTATACATAAAAATATTCATCACAGCAAACAGAAAAATGCTGGAAGAAACTTCACTTCTAATAGTAGGGAAATACTTAAGAAAATGATCATATGTTCATTCGAAGCATTATTTTGCAGGATTAAACAATTACAAATAAAAGGAATTGTGAAACAGTATGGAAAATGCATATGATATAATGTTAGGTGAAAAAAAAAGCAGGAATTGAAGTTTTATATATACTATGCCTACAATTAAAAAAATATATATGGGTGTTGGTCTGAATGCAGTTGGTGTTTACAACTACTTAATCATAACTGGTTTATGGATTTCTTTGTTCCATCTTCACTTCCACTGCTCCACTTGACTAGTCTTAAAAAAAATGAAGAAAAGAATGAATTTACTAGAAATTAAAATAGTTTATTAAGGTGGTAAAACAACAGAAGATTATTTCCTCTCTTAATTTTTCAAAATTTTAATAGTGTAAGATCATATTTTATTTAAATATTTTAACATGTTAGATACTTAAATATGTTTTATTTATTTTCGTTATTTAAATATACTATTTTTATTTGATTGATTTATTTATTTACATATAGAGACAGGGTCTCAATATGTTACCCAGGCTCGTCTTGAACTCCTGGATTCAAGAGATCTTCCCACCCTGGCCTCCCAAAATGCTGGGATTACAAGCATAAACCACAGAACCCAGCCTAAATATATTATTATTATTATTTTGAGATAGAGTCTTGCTCTGTCATCCAGGTTAGCATGCAGTGGCATGAACTCTATAGTGGCTTACTGTAGCCTTGATCTCCTGAGCTCAACTGATCCTCCTGCCTCAGCCTCCCAAGTAGCTGGGACCACAAGCACATGCCACCATGCTCGCCTAATTTTTTTTTTTTTTTTTCTGTAGAGACAGAGTCTCACCATGTTTCGCAGGCTGCTTTCAAACTCCTGGGCTCAAGTGATCTTCCCACCTTGGCCTCCCAAAGTGCTGGGACTATAGGCATGAGCCACTGCACTCAGCTTAAATATATTATTTTTAAATGCAATAAAGATTGTACCTTACGGAGGACTGATAATTTTTCATACCTTGATGTGGATGAAGATTGTCTGGGTATATACATATCAAATACACACACACACACACATACACACACACACACACACACACACACACACACACACAGGTTTTTGTTCATGGTTCCTGGCTCATAACTCCTATGGCTCTTGTTATAATGTTGGGGCACTTTAAACCTCAGAATAAGGCCTCATAAAAACTGACTGTGTTTGAAGTCAGACTCCACCACTTACTGTCTATATCATCTTGGTTAAGTCAGTTCACCTCTCTGTTTAATTTCCTGAACTGATCTCCTCATCTGTAAAATGGAATATGGTCCCACCTACTTCATGAGGTTTTTGTGAGGATCAACTGAATCCATTAACATAACAAAAACAATGGCTCACTATGTTTCTAAGAGCTATTTAGCCCTGCATGAGTTAGCTATTGTTTTTCTGGGCTGTCAGAGTTCAACAGATGCTGCTTTGAATGTGCTTTGAACAATTCTAGCTCAAAAGGAATCTTGCAGAATTTGAGATACGATTTTGATTGTTACATTATCCACTCAGACACCCAATCACTCCTTTACCCCTTAAACTTAATCAAGCTCTGTTGATTCATACCTCTAAATAACTCTCTCCTCTCCAGTGCCTCAATTTTTGCTTAGATCACTGCAAGAGCTACCAACATTTTTTTCCTTTCTTCAGCAACTTTCATCCTTGATGTGGAAGGAAATCAAGATATTTTACACCAAAATATATTTCTTTGATATATTTTGAGAGGACTGCCAGAGGGCCAGCAAACAGAACTGGCCCTGCAAAGCTGCCTTTCATGGGGGAAATTTACATCTGTAGAGAATCTACATTCATGCAGCCAGGATTCCCTTGTCAGTTCTAGGAAAGATTAACTAAGAGTCTGACACCTTTAAAGGTGAGAGAATTTGTCAAAGGTAAGAAGAATTTGTCATCTATTCTGTCTGCTACCCGAGAGGTTTCATCTATATAACAAGGACAGCTTTGCTAGGCAGGCCTCCTGTTCTGTCTCTCTCATAACCTGTCTTGCCACTAAAGCCTGGTTTACCACCATAGCCTATTTTTGGCTGTGCTCTGAATCCATATTCTTTCTGTAACCTCGAGTTGGGGGGATTATTTCATTCTGAAGGCCCCTGTGTCATGAAAAACTATGATCAAATAAATTTGTATGCCTTTTCTCCTATTAATCGTCCTCTTGTTAAATATTTTCAGCAAACCTTCAGAGGGTGAAGGGGACGCTTTCCCTTGCCTTCAACAATGTCCTTCAAAACGCCAGAGCCATATACATTACTCTCCAGCCTAAGTCCCACTGAGTTTGATCAATAACCATTATTTTGTTTTCAATTCAATGTCTTACCCTCAAGTCCTGCTATTTCCCACCCACCTACCTCACCTTTGCCAGTACCCCTCTTGTACTGGCGTGACTTCAGTCCAGGTCCTTCCATGTTTCCTTTTCTTTCTTGGAGTTGATCTTTTCATGATTCTTTAACAAATGAGTTGCTATTAAGCCTTCATGACACTGATAAAAAATCTTCTCTTCTACAAAGTCTTTCTCAGCAATCCCAGGCAAAGTTAGTCATTTCCTCCTTTGTTTCCATTTCACTTGGTATATACCATGTCTTTTCACATAACAGGTTGCGCTGGAATTATGTGTTTATGGGCCTCACTCAATGACAGGGACTGAGCACCTTCCTTTGTTTGCCGAGAGCCACCCCCACATGCCTAGCACATCAAAGATGTTTAATAACTATGTAGTGAGTGAATAATAAATAAATGGGTTAGTATAACATCTCAGATGATATCTACATTGTGTCAATGCAAACTGTCAAACTCTGTAAAATATTTGAAGAGATTTATTCTGAGCCAGTTATGAGTGACTAATGGCCCATGACACAGCCTCAAAAGATCCTGAAAACATGTGCTCAAGGTGGTTGGGCCACAGCTTTGTTTTATACATTTTAGGGAGATACGAGATATCAATTAATACATGTAAGATGTACATTGGTTCAGTTCAGAAAGGTGGAACAACTGGAAATGGGGGCTTCGACATCACAGGCAGATTTAAAGATTTTCTGATTAGCAATTGGTTGAGAACATTATTATCAATAGAAAGAAATGTCTGGATTATGATAAAGGTTGTGGAGACCAAGGTTTTATCATGCAGATAAAGCCTCCAGGTAGCAGGTTTCAGAGAGAATAGATTGTAAATATTTCTTATCAGACTTAAAAAGTCTCTTGTACCAGTAATTCCAAAAGGGAGGAGGGTATAATGAGGTATTTTGGCTCCCTTTTCTCATCATAGCCTGAACTCATTTTCCAGGTTAGCTTTGGAATGCCCCTGGCTGAGAGGAGGGGTCCATTCAGATGGTTGTGGTGCCTTAGAATTTTATTTTTGGTTTACAACCTATAGGAGAGTAAATATAGTAAAGGAGAGACAAACGGTATATAGGCTCCACCCCTAGAGCATGTGACTCTGGGCAAATTCCTCATGCTCTCTGTGCCTCCCTTTCCTCCTCGACAAAATCATGACAAGGATATCTTCATGTGTGTGTGAGCATTCAGTTAATCAATACATGTAATTCTATGTGTCAGTTACTGTTGTCGTTGATGTTCATGGGGAGAGTAATACTGTAAACCCCAGGAAAGACAGGGACTTTGCTTTGACTCACCATTTAATTTCTGACATTTGTTATAGCATTTCTTGTGGAATAGGCACTCAATAAAAATTCAAGTGGGCACAGTGGCTCATGACTGTAATCCCAGCTACTCAAGAGGCTGAGGCAGGAGGATTGCTTGAAGTCAGGAGTTTGAGACCAGACTGGGAATCATAGCAAGATAGTGTCTCTACAAAAAAATTCAAAAATTGGCCAGTGGTGGTAGTGTGTGCCTTGAGTTCCAGCTAATCAGTAGGCTGAATTGGGAGGATTGCTTGAGTTTAAGAGTTTGAAGCTGTAATGAGCTATGATTGCATCACAGCACTCTCCAGCTTGAGTGACAGAGTGAGACCCCCCCCAATCTCTCTTTCTCTCTTTTTGTTTTTGGAGACAGAGTCTCACTCTGTTGCCCAGGTTGGTGTGCAGTGGCACAGTCTTGGCTCACTGCAACCTCTACCTCATAGGTTCAAGTAATTCTCCTGCCTCCACCTCTTGAGGATTCATCTTATTAAGTAGCTAAAATTGGTGTCATTTGCTGGATATCATTTATCAAAAAGTGATTGGGCTGTGGGTATTTGACCTTTAAGTATGAAATGCATGTCTTCCTCTGAGCCAGAGTTACCAGTTTGTTGACTTTTCAGAGTTTGTTGACTTATCCAGAGTAACTGGGATTACAGGAACCTGCCACCAGGCCCAGGTAATTTTTGTATTTTTTTTAGTAGAGACATGGGGTTTCGCCACATTGGCTAAGCTGGTCTTGGACTCCTGACCTCAGGTAATCCACCTGCCTTGGCTTCCGAAAGTGCTGGGATTACAGGTGTGAGCCACCGTGCCCGGCCCCCTACTCTCTTAAAAACAAAAAAGAATTGTGAAATGAACATAAGTATAATAAAAAGAGAACACAAAAGAAGATAGTTAGAAACACACTCAGACACACAAAGGGCCAGTGGGAATACATTTGTCCATTTGACACAAAGTACAAAACTGTTGCTAAGTCACCTCAGGTGCTCACCACTGAGGGATGAATAAGGAGGACAGTTCTGGAGGCTGGGAAGTCCAAGATCAAAGTACTGGCAGATTTGATGCCTAGTGAGAACCTGCTTCCTAGTACCCAGTTTTCTTTCATG